AAGTGAGAGATAATCCCCACAAATTAAGGGAATTACTTTGGAACCCCCAGGTCACCAGAACTAGTGTCACCTTTATTACCTTTCTGGGGGCAGCCCAAAATTAGTTTTTTTTTCTTTACTTTCACTTTCAATGATAATAGTAAACAGGACAAATAAAGAGGTTGAACCTCCCTAACGGGGGCACAGACAGCAGTAAAAACCTCATAGGTGTTCTAATCAATTTCCACTCTGTACAAAACTGAAAAAAAAAATGTTTTGCCTTTAGTTATACTTTAGTATGAACGTACAGAAATTTTAGTCATCTGGATAAATAGTGAGTTAAAGAAAATAATTATAGTTGTTTGGGTGGTCAACTCTTCCATTGTTTCACCGCTCATAAACAGAAGTCTAGGTAAAATTTTAATTTTGATGTTAATTTTGCCAAACCAGGAGTGGCATAAGGATGACCAATGATGGTTGTATGTTTTAATAGCATTCAATAATGGGATATGGTTCTGCCAATCAGGAAGTTAAGGTGACCCCCAGTTATTTCAGATTTGTGATTTTTACAAAAAAGGAAAAAGTGATTTAAAGCATGCAACTTTGGATGTAGATACTGAAAATCTCAGACTTGGTGAGATTATTTTTAAAATTAGATGGCTTCCCAAATCATTAGAATGCCCTCATTAGGTTAGGAAGAGTATCCCGGGGATTTTAAACATAAAATAATATATCACCTGTATACGCAGGATATTTATGTACCCTGTTTTCAATTGCACTACCATGTATATCTGGGTAATGTTGATTGGTGGAGAGGAACAGTTATAAGTAAATGGCAAATAGCAGGTGTGGCAAGGGGCACCCCTGCTTACTGTCACTGTTTAAACCAAAGGATTCACTTAGAGTGTCTTTTGTCTATATTTGAGCTGCAGGGGCCTTGAATGTCAAATGTGTTGTTATTCTACACATAATCTTAGGTCCAAGACCAAAACAAATCACAATGTAGTCAAAAGATAATCCCATTCCATTATATTGAATGCTTTTTACGCTTCTGTGGAGAGGAGAAGGGTAGACTGGGATTGTTTATGACATTGCATATTTAATCTCCATATCACTTCAGAAAGGTTAGGAGCATCAGATGTTTTCCATTTTCTAGTAATAGCAAGTCTAGCACCATGGGCCTAGGATGTGGGCAACTGTGGCCCTATATTCATAAGGAAATACCTAAATTCTTATAAGAGTGCCAAGGATAATGGGGGGGAGGGGGAAATTGTGGTAAGGCTACCAGAAATGTTTGAGATCAGTATTGATACTGACTTTCAAAAGCTCCTAATGTTCTTACAACCCGAAAGTATATAAAGAAGATTACCCACTTGTTTACACTGTATCTGGAAAAGGGGGTACTGTGAAGACTGAAGTTTAGAAAATATCTATGGAGTCTCATACCATCTATATAAGATCTGTTGGAAATTATCCCAATGTCATATTACTATTAGTTAGAATGGCCTTATGTAATTTTTCTGGATGAAATCATTTTTGAAAATCTATTTCCTTTTCTACCATAGCTGTAATTTTGGTAAAATTATGCACATCATTAAAAAGGCTATATCTTTCCCTTTCTGGTTCATTGTGAATGTTGAGAATTGATGAATTGTAGGGTTAAAATCAATGAACTTCCATGGATAGGATTTATGAAAATGTCCAAGCTGATATAATCTTGGTTGGTAAAGTCTAAAGGTAAATGTTCCCAAAAAAGTAATGTATTATTGTTGAGAATGTATAATTACCAATTAGGCCCTCCAGGCTTCTAATAATGAGGCAATTGTGAGATAGTCAGGAGCTAAAACCTGAGTAGATATTGCCAAAACTAATGCTAAGGGTTTAAAGTCATAGCCTGCCTGGTACCATTGTCTGTTCTTTATCCATCTGTGGTTTATCTCCTGAGAGTGAAAAGCATACCTTCATTTGATCTACTAGTGAGGCCCTATAATAATCTTGCATGCTTGGGAGTCCAGCCCTTTATTCAATCTATGCTTAATCAAAGAGGAATATGGCATTCTCACCTTTTTATGGTTCCATATGTATGCTCATAACAAGGAGTCTAATGTGATAAAAACATTTTTGTAAAATTGGAATCAGTAAAGTTTTAAAATATTACAGGATCTTTGGGAGCACTTCACAAAAAACAATATAAATATAAAACAACGAATGGTCAGAGATCCTCCTGCGCTATGAAATGGAAGTATACAACCTAGTCTAAAGCTGCACTCACTTCCTCCTTATTCACCTGAATGAGGAGGAAGTAGAAAGGAGACATTCCTGGATGTGGCAGCAGAGGAGAAACTACCTTGGCTGATCAGGGGCAATAGGAGCCCCAATAAGGAGATCCAGGAAAGGAAGGAAGCTGCTGGCCATTATAAACCAAGGATCCAGGGTGATCCTGCAAGCCTGTTGGCCCCTTGGGGTCATTGGAAGGAGGTGAGGAGGCAATCTAGCCGCTACTAGGAGAAGAGTGTTTTTTTACACAATCACGGATTTATCACCATTTCACATTGCATGATTTTATTTATTTCCACAAAGGACATTGCTAAGATTGTTTTCTAACAGAGAGGACACATTCTTTTGCACTGTGTGAGCACTGTGAATTATATTGTATAGTTTCCTTATTGGATATAGTTTCTTTGGATTTTTTTAGTTTAATATAGGTGTGTGTGTGCACTATATATATATTTGTGTTAATTATCAGTCACTTACTATTTGTATCAAACATGTGTATGTGGGTTCACGTATTTTGCAAGTGGCTGATAGATTTCTTTTTTTGAATTTTAGTCTGGCACTATTTATTTGTTTTTCACTATTGCTTATGAAGGAATACAATATATTTTATTTATTTTAGGATTCTATATTGTGTATTTGGCACATATTTCTTTATATGATAAGAGCGCTACACTATTTTTTTTTTTATAAAACAACGAATATATATATAAAAAATAAAATCTCAAAAATCTTAGTTATAGTAAAAATAGAAATTAATAGGACACGGGAAAAGGATGGTTAGAACCTCAAACAATTGAGGATATACAGATATCAATAAATGGCAATAAAATAATATATAAATATAATTAAAGTACATTATAAAATTCAGGGAAAAAACAATAAAAATCTGAATCGGTAAAAAAACAATTCAGGATAATATATGAATAATGTAAACAATATATTATTCTATAATGATAATAAATGGATTAAATTCAATATTCAAAAAATTAATTAGAATATGTAATAATATATGATAAAATAGTAGTAGGAATATTATTGAGATATATATATATATATATATATCCATTATTGATATATTAAAAACTGCTTTATGAGAAATTCCATATAAAATTGGACCTATCTAAATGAATGTATTTATAGAATTAGATAGGTATGAAACGGTCATAAAATATGTATAAAGGTGCAGAAAGGATATGTGCAGATAATTAGCATCAACTGTTGTCAATAAAGCAATTAATGTCTAATTCCACATTAAGGCCGTTAGGATGTAAAGTAAGAAGCAAGTGTATCCATTTTGTTTCAAGCTGGGAAACTGCTCTCCTTTTGTGAGTTCCTCTCCAATGTAGTGTGACTAAATCAATTCCCACAAATTTTAGTGGTGTAGGATCATTGTTGTGGACATGCCTGTAATGATCTGATAGGGAATGTTCTTTGTAGCCACGTTTAATGTTATTCACATGTTCCCGTAGCCTGTCCCTAAGCCGTCTAGTAGTTTGCCCAATGTACTGTAATTGGCAGGGACATTCCAATAAATATACTATGTATCTACTGTTACAGGTGATACATTTGTCAATATTGAACGTTTTCCCAGTTTTTTGTGAGTTAAATGAAGTCACTTTGTGTTTTTTCTACTGTTGTTACATGTGCATATAATGCACTTATTACATGGGTAGAAACCTTTAAGGTCAGCAAAGAGAGAAATGTTTTTTGGGGGATTAATCACATTAGGAGCTAAATAATGACGTAAGGCTGTGGCCTTGCGAAAAAATGATTTCTGGCTTGTCCTGCAATATCTTAGAGAGGACTGGATCGGTTTTAAGTATTCCCCAATTATTGTTGATAATTCTATTGATAGCTCTATGTTGGTTAGAGAATGTAGTTATAAATGGACAAATTTGGGTTTGTTTAAATTCTCTTTATTTTCCAATGTTTCTTCCCGTGTGGTACTAGCCACCATGTTAATGGTATCATCTAGGTTATGTTCATTGTACCCTTTTTCCAAAAACCTATGTTTCAAACTTTGGGCTTGAGTATAATAGGTATCGAGATCCGTACAATTTTGTCTTATTCTCAAAAACTGTCCTTTGGGTATATTTGATAACCACCTAGGATGGTGGCAGCTTCCAATCGGAATAAAGCTATTCCTGTCTGTTTTCTTAAAATATGACTTGGTGACAATTTTCCCATTATAGTTAATAAGCGTGAGATCTAAAAAAATAATCTCCTAGTTGCTATAGGTATAAGTTAAGTCAATATTTTAATTATTATCATTAAGAGTTTTAAAGAAATGAATTAGAGCTTGTTCCTCTCCGTTCCAAAGGAGGAAGACATCATCTATATGATACAGCTAATCTATTTATGGCCCACTGGGAGGAGTTTTTAATCTACGGTAGAGAGTGTCCAGAACTCATCTTTTACAAGAGATATTCCAGTATTAATGAACAACTGAGTGCTCAGAAATAAGTACTCCTGTAAACAATCAAGAATGTGAAAGGAATGATAAACACAAGAGACATGTTTACTGATCCACCCAATCTCCATCCTGAAGGAATGCCTGCAATGTGATCCTCTGGCTTTGCCAGTACAGATGAGGAGAGAGCATCAAAGATTGGAGTACATACAACATAAGACAGTGGGGTATGAAAGGAATCAGCTTGTGGGCACACAGCTGGGGGGCAGGGGCGGACTGACCATTTGGAAACTCGGGCACTGCCCGAGGGCCCGGGGTCAGTATGGGGCCCCATGAGATGCCCCTGGTACCTTTTTCATAGGCTTTTTTGAGTTTTGGCAAGGACACAGGGGCCCCATGATCCCCTATTGCCTGGGGGCCCCATGAGTTGCCAGTCTGCCCCTGCTGGGGGGAAGTCAATTTTTTTATGAATTCCTGTGATCACAACCATATATTAATTAGCAGGGTCCAGGGAGCCCTTCTGCTGTATGTTTATAAACACCAAAGTGATCATAGGGCTATAGCCTAAGGAAATGTAAAGGGCATAAGGGTTACTGCACTGGTCAACTGATGTAACCCCTATGTTCTTAGCTGTAAGAGGGTTAATTTCAAACAGTTGGCAGGATTCTCACAATAATGAAAATAAATACATATTTTTAATAATTTAACAATTGCGTAATGGATTTACAATGTCTTTACAATTAGTAATTAAAATTGTGTGAGACATTCAATCTTCTGTGCATGTGGGAAAAATGTGCCCTTGTTGCTTCAGACTTTTCAATAATTATAATTAAGGTCTCCTAACAAGCTGCCTTTTAAATCTGTATTGATTAGCAGTGCACCACACAACCTGCTGCTAGTTTTGTTAATTAACATCTTTCATTAATAAGTGGTCATCAATTTAGTTGCTTTAAAAGTGAGCAAAACAAATTGATCATCAAGCCAGTTTTAGATATTGATGACATCATTGGTTCTACAGAAAAGTTAAAAGAATGGAACAGTAAAAGGATAGCTTTAAAGGTAAACTCCAGTCATATTGATAACTCTAACATACACTCACCGGACACTCTATTAGGTACATCTGTTCAATTGCTTGGTAACACAAATTGTTAATCGGCCAATCACATGACGGCAACTTAATGCATTTAGGTATCTAGACGTGGTGAATACAACTTGTTGAGGTTTATACCAAGCATCAGAATGGGGAATAAAGGGGATTTAAGTGACTTTGAACATAGCATGGTTGTTGGTGCTAGAAGGGGTGGTCTGAGTATTTCTCAAACTGTTTATTTACTGGGATTTTCACAACCATATCTAGGGTTTACAGAGAATGGTCCAAAAAAAGAAAAGATCCAGTGAGCTGCAGTTGTGTTGAAGAAAATGTCAAAGATCAGAGGAGAAAGGGCAGACTGGTTTGAGATAATAGAAAGGCAACAGTAACTCAAATAACCACTTGTTACAACCAAGGTATGTAGAATACCATTCCTGAATGCACAAAATGTCGAACCTTGAAGCAGATGAGCTACAGCAGCAAAAGACCACACCAGGTGCCAATGTACCAATCTTCTGATGGCTACTTCCAGCAGGATAATGCACCATATCACAAAGCTCAGATCATCTCAAACTGGTTTCTTGAACATGACAATGAGTTCACTGTACACCAATGGCCTCCACAGTCACCAGATCTCAATCCAATAGAGCACCTTTGGGATGTGGTGGAACGGGAGATTTGCATGGATGTGCAGCCGACAAATCTGCAGCAACTGCATGATGCTATCATGTCAATATGGACCAAAATCTTTGAGGCATGCTTCCAACGCCTTGTTAGCACCTTTCTGAATCTACGCCACCAAAGAATTAAGGCAGTTCTGAAGGCAAAAAGGGGTCCATCCAACCCGGTACTAGCAAGGTGTACCTAATAAAGTGAGTGTATATGGTAATGTGTTCATTAAAAAAACAATAAATACATTGTAAATGCAACCAATGTAAGTATGTGAATTAACCTTGATATGTGCCTCCTGTAATCCCCTGCACAGTGATAAAAGGTTATGAAAGGTGAGGACAGTGCTGGGATAAGGATCCAATGCAGAACACATATGCTGAAATGTGTTAAATATGTACTGTATATATTGTAAATAAAATTGACAACAAAAGTTGTGTGTCTGCGGGCTTACATTTTGTGAATACCAAGGGTGCCCTGAAAATAATCTATGTAATTTTCTGCAGACCTGGAAAGCAGGATAGTGAAAGTGCAAACTGAGAACATACAAAAATAATCTATATTGATTATTATATTGAATCTGTTATTATGAATGTTATCTTACTATTGCTGTTATGTTTTCTAAATAGGACATACATGTACATATGAACAGTATTTTATATTTTATTATGTCATTATTGTCATGTTTTTTTAGATATGAACCCATTGCCAATATCTCTCATTACACACATTACCCAGAGTGCTGAAAGGTGAGCAACCCCCCTTCTACTGAACATGGAGAACACAAAATAATTGAAATGTATCAGTGCCTAGGATGTTGGCTTCATATGTCTTTTATTTCAAGAATTCTGGGGAGTCTATCTTTTATTTTTTTTACACTCAAATGAAACCAAAATGGCTATGCTGTCTGGCAGGGATCCTTAAATCACAAGAATAGCTGCAGAGAAATACACATCCTTTGGCAGGTGAAACAGCTCCAATATATGCATTTCAACTGTTTATTTAGTTTCTAGACTGGAACTTTTGTTTTAAAAAATGAGAGAGAGAAAACATGAGAGAGAAGCAAGCAATTAAAGGCCAAATTAAAGCTATTATACTGCAGTGAAGTGCCACATCTTCTCTACTACTGCAAAATCAATTTAGTTGATTTAAAAGTAATCCAAACAAATTGATCATCAAGTCAACTTTAACAAGTTGTGGTTATGGGGGATACTACATATGTCCACAAAAACGTAATCAAAGCACACAGAGTTTTTAGTATTACCCGTCCTTCTGCTTCTTTGCTGCTCCTACACCTTGCAATGACTGGCAATTCCTTACTGTCAAAATGACAGTTAGCAATTGCTGTACTGTCAAAAAACAGAGCATCTGACACAATGTTTATAAACACTGTGCATTTAGTGATACTTTTGGATCTACTCTGCTTCATTCATACCCGACTCCCCTTATTATTTTCTCCTGATTTGTTACTTTCTATTGTAACCATTAATATGTTTAAACTTGTTTTAGTTATTATTTAGTTAAAGGGTTACTAAACCCACAACAGTAAAATCAGTCTGTATATGAAGTAAAGCATGCTTTTTTATACTCACTGTGAAACCTAAGGGGTTAATCCTCTGCATTGTGTAAAAAGGCTATTTGATCCTGTTTTCTCTGCCCCTCCTCTTTTTCAAATGTCCACATCTTATCTCCTGATAAGACAGACTGAACCTGTAGCCACATGCTCATGCTCGGTTTAGTGTGTATTGCTAGAGAGGTTTATTTTTTTCTTCGGAGAGTGCATGTGATCAGCACAGGACCAATTACCCCTTGTCCAGACAGGGGGTCAGGGGTTTTGCATCCTCCTAGAGCAGAAAGAAAACTCCTTCTACAAGCTTTAACCAGTGCTCTGCTGAACACTGATAGAAGTCATCAGACTGCTCAAACTGCTGATGAGAAAAGCTATTTAGCAGTTGATATTCACTAAAATAATTGCACTTCCATGTTCTGTGTACTGTGGGAGACCAGATATAGTAGTGAATGCAGGGTCCTGAGTTTAGTCACACTTCAATTTTTTCAATGTTGCATTTACAAAAGCTCAAAATTGAAAAAAGCTGCTTTTTTAAAAATAACTTTGCTTTATTTTATTTGTTAATAATTTTGCAATGCTTTGTACCTGACGCATAATTTTAGTGACATTTTAAATAGGAAAATTATATAATAAAATATATATTTTTTAAACACTCAAATGCAATATTTGAACTAACACTGATGAAAAAGTGTATTTTCTGTTTCCTTATGTAAAAAAAGTTTTGCACCGCTACTACAAAAGATGGGACTATTGGGACAGCAGCCCACACCTGGCTATACCACTAGCAAAAAACAACAAACAGAAAATTGATGTTGCGCTAATCACAATAATGCCACAGACATTCCAAAACAAATAATGAGATGAGAAGACAATAGATAATACACCATAACATAATCAGTAAATGGAAGGAATATGGGCGTGAAGGGAAAGGTGAAATAATAAAGGTCTAAAATGAGGACCAAAAGGTATAACCGACAATAAACCGTGACCGTGGGCAAAATGCACGGAAATAATCAGGGAGAAATAAAATATTAACTAAATCACAGTAATAGTGTGACATATGAGTCCATCATAACATAAATGAAGTGCTTAAATATTAAAAGTGGACAAACCACTTATCACAGAAGAATGACAATAACATCGCACATTGAGGCCAAAAAATTTATCAATGCGACTAAAAGGTCATAACACAATGTGCATCAAAAGGCCATGTGACATAAAACGACTAATAAGTAACCATATAAATACCATAAATAAATGTGGCAAACATATATAGAGTGCAACTAGTATAAAACAGAAAATGGTGATATAAATGCACAGTGAAACCAAATGAATGTATTACTGTGCAGTGTAAAATACAATAACACAATGAAGAAATAAATAACGTGACTAAAAAAAATGCTACATAAAGTCCATGTGCAAAAACGTCCAACAAAAACTCATAAAAAAAAAAATAGGTAAATGATTAGTGAATTCCACTCCGGCTAAAATACCTCCTCACCTCCACGCTCAGACCCCAAGGGGCCAAAAGGCTTTCAGGACACTCACTGCAGGGGCCCTTTAAATGGAATCCCAAATGGTGATGATATTCCCCTCACTGGTGTACCATACTGTTCAGCGGTGGTAATATATCCTTTACCTTTGGACACGTAAATCAGTCAGTGCACAGAACTCCTGCCAGGGGTTCGTTGGACCAGAAAAATCAGCCAGCGCACAGAACTCCTGCCAGGGGTTCGTTCGGACCAGAAAAAACAGCCAGCTCACAGCACTCCCAGGGAGACAAGAAAAAGTGCTTCCATAGTGTAATATTGTAAATTAATCACATTTATTGTAAAGACAAATGAGCACTTACATGGGAACAGATCAAACAAGGCATCAATCACATGTGCTGATATGGTGTACTGAGTGTACCAATATGGCTGCAGCCGTTCATGTCAGAAATGACGCCACCACATTCCGCTCTCCGACCTATGCGTTACATCACTGTCACGTGACTTCATCAGTCATGTGACAGTGATGTAACGCGTAGGTTGGAGAGCAGAATGTGGTGATGTCATTTCTGACACGAACGGCCGCAGCCATATTGGTACAGATA